CCTTTTTATATGAGTGAGATGCATTTATTAGTCTATTTTTCTCTCCATCAGTCAGCCTAAGTCTTTTAGGTTTGCAATACCTTAATTCAACCTTTTTATATAAGTGAAATGCATTTATTAGTCTATTCTTCTCGTCATCAGTCTGCCTAAGTCTTTTAAGTTTGCACTACCTTAATATACCCTTTTTATACGAGTGAAATGAATTTATGAGTCTATTTTTCTCTTCAATTAACAGTCTGCCTAAGCCTAAGTCTTTTAGGTTTGCACTACCTTAATTCACTCTTTTTATACGAGTGAAATGTATTTATTTGTCTATTTGCCTCTTCATCAGCCAGCCTAAGTCTTTTAGGTTTGCACTACCTTAATTCACCCTTTTTAAACGAGTGAAATGTATTCATGAGTCTCTTCAACAGTCTGCCTAAGTCTTTTAGGTTTGCATGACCTTAATTCATGTAATTCAACCTTTTTATATGAGTGAAATGGATTTATTTGTCTATTTTTCTCTTCATCAGTCAGCCTAAGCCTAAGTCTTTTAGATTTGCACTACCTTAATTCATGTTTGTTTGTAGTGGAATGTATTTATTAGGCTATTTTTCTCTTCAATAGTCTGCGTAATCCGAAGTCTTTAAGGTTTGCACTACCTAAATTCATATTTTTTATATTAGTGAAATGTATTTATTAATCTTTTTTTCTCTTCATCAGTCAGCCTTAGTCTTTTAGGTTTGCACTACCTTAATTCATCTTTTTTGTATGGGTGAAATGTATTTATTAGTCTATTTTTCTCTTCATCAGTCAGCCTAAGTCTTTTAGGTTTGCACTACCTTAATTCACCCTTTTTCTATGAGGGAAATGTATTTATTAGTCTAATTTTCTCTTCACCAGTCAGCCTTTAAGTCTTTAAGGTTTGCACTACCTTAATTCACCCTTTTTATACGAGTGAAATATATTTATTAGTCTATTTTTCTCTTCATCAGTCAGCCTTAGTCTTTTAGGTTTGCACTACCTTAATTCATATTTTTTGTATGGGTGAAATGTATTTATTAGTCTATTTTTCTCTTCATCAGTCAGCCTTTAAGTCTTTTAGGTTTGCACTAACTTAATTCACCCTTTTTCTATGAGGGAAATGTATTTATTAGTCTAATTTTCTCTTCATCAGTCAGCTTTTAAGTCTTCTAGGTTTGGAATACCTTAATTCACCCTTTTTATATGAGTGAAATATATTTATTAGTCTATTTTTCTCTTCATCAGTTTAAATCCTTTAGGTTTGCACTACCTTAATTTAGTCAATGGTCATTTGGCCATGACATGTCCTTACAGACTTATTCCATAAATTTATCTTCTTTTAAATACATGGTGTGTAAAATAGGCAAAATACGTGGGTTTTTCTGACTTTTAAGCTTGGTTGACTGAATATATAATGTTATGTATTGTAAACTTTCTGATTGTGTATTGTAAGATAAAAATTATGATGATTATAATGTTATATTGATATCAAATTGTTCATTGAATTTACATAATCCATTATGTATTGTCAACCATCAGCTGTCCCAATATACAAGTTTGTACCACTTAAGTACACAATTCAATAATAAGAAAGCACAAATGGCAAAACACAATGGAACAGTTCAGTAATAAGAAAGCACAAAGGGCAAAACACAATGGAACAGTTCAGTAATAAGAAAGCACAAAGGACAAAACACAATGGAACAGTTCAGTAATAAGAAAGCACAAAGGGCAAAACACAATGGCACAATTCAACAAAAAGAAAGCACAGAGGGCAAAACACAATGGCACAATTCAACAATAAGAAAGCACAAATGGCAAAACACAATGGAACAGTTCAGTAATAAGAAAGCACAAAGGGCAAAACACAATGGCACAATTCAATAATAAGAAAGCACAAAGGGCAAAACACGATGGCACAATTCAACAATAAGAAAGTACAAATGGCAAAACACAATGGCACAATTCAATAATAAGAAAGCACAAAGGGCAAAACACAATGGCACAATTCAACAAAAAGAAAGCACAGAGGGCAAAACACAATGGCACAATTCAACAATAAGAAAGCACAAATGGCAATACACAATGGCACAGTTCAATAATAAGAAAGCACAAAGGGCAAAACACAATGGCACAATTCAATAATAAGAAAGCACAAAGGGCAAAACACAATGGCACAATTCAACAATAAGAAAGCACAAAGGGCAAAACACAATGGCACAGTTCAGTAATAAGAAAGCACAAAGGGCAAAAAACAATGGCACAATTCAATAATAAGAAAGCACAAAGGACAAAACACAATGGCACAATTCAATAATAAGAAAGCACAAAGGGCAAAATACAATGGCACAATTACAATTCAACAAAAAGAAAGCACAAAGGGCAAAACACAATGGCACAATTCAATAATAAGAAAGCACAAAGGGCAAAACACAATGGCACAATTAAACAATAAGAAAGCACAAATGGCAAAACACAATGGCACAGTTCAGTAATAAGAAAGCACAAAGGGAAAAAAACAATGGCACAATTCAATAATAAGAAAGCACAAAGGGCAAAACACAATGGCATTATTCAATAATAAGAAAGCACAAAGGGCAAAACACAATGGCACAATTTAACAATAAGAAAGCACAAATGGCGAAACACTATAGCACAATTCAATAATAAGAAAGCACAAAGGGCAAAACACTATGGCACAATTCAATAATAAGATAGGGCAAAATGCAATGAAAAGAAAGCACCACATGCAATAAGAGCACAAATGGCAAAATTCACAATAGCAAAATCTACTAATGTCAAATAAATTGAAGAATTATGAAATCAGATATAATTAAGAGCAAAATGATCAGACAAAAAAGTCAGAAGTAGTTTTCATGGATTTACAAAACAATATAAAAAAATATGAAAAAGGATTGTAAATTTTTGTATGAATTCTGCTTAAGGTTCACTGGTATACTACTAGTAATTAATAATAAGATAATTAGATATCGTGAACTCTATTGCAGTTATGTTACTTATCTAGTTACCATCAATTTTTAAGTGTACCAGTGCAACTGCTAGGGGGCATAACATCACACTCAATAATAAAAAATATTAGTAGGCCTATATAAAATCTATTAAAATTGGGCTCTTCATCCTCCAAACATGTTTTATTAGCTTAAAAATAAAGAGCGAGAAATGTCTTTTAAGGATTCTTGGCATTTAAAAGGCATATGCAGGGGTTTCAATAAATATTTTTTCAACAGGCATTAGGCAATTTCAGCAGGCTGAATTTTTTTCAATCGTTCGCCGCTCGCTTCGCTCGCGTTCGACTTCGCTCGCTTCTTCGCTCGCGTTCGACTTCGCTCGCTTTCTACTTCATTTTTGGAGGTGCTCGACTCAATATATTGAAAATAAAAGCATATCCCCATATGTAAAATCATAGAATCAATATTTTCCTGCCACTTTATTGCAAACTGTATATTTGATCAATTGATCTCTTTGACATGTTCATTACTTTATGTGTTTTTTAAATGTTGCCCCTTGTGCTTCCTCACTGTGATGTAAAATATTGAAATCAGTATTTTCCTGTCACTTTAATGCAAATTGTATATGAGCAATTGATTTCAATAAAGCAGATCAATACATAATTTGATTTTTAATTAACTTTTTACTTGTTAATTAATTTGTGTTTTTCAAATGTTGCCCTTTGTGCTTCCTCAATATGATGTAAGATAATGCCAAGAAGATCAATTGTATTGATTTATACTGTTTATTTCAAGTATATGTGTAACTGTAATAATAGTACATGTAGTATCCATTGAAACAAAAGGGGTGGCAGGACATTGCTACTGACCCATTTAGTCTCAAAGCATAATGTTTTGGTTTGAGAGTAGGTCAATAAAAATGGTGGCCGAATTACAGTAAGATAATTATCTCAGTGTTTCTCTAAAACACTGCTGATTATCTGCCTATTATACTTACATTTTGCCTTCTCAAGGTAGGTTAATTTATATTCTTTCATTTGACATGACAAACTAAATTGATTTGTCTCATGTGTGAGCAAAATCTCTGATCATTTGAGCCGGCAATTTTTTTTCTAATTTTTTTTCTCAAAATTTGAACCGGCGTAACTGGGATTTGAAGCGGCGTTTTCGCCGGCCGCCGGCTGTTATTGAAACCCCAGATATGATAGCTGCCTATACCAAAGTCACACAATCCAGGAATATTTCATGAATGGCCTAGATCATATATCAGTATACAGGAATTATTTGCTGTTTTTGCTGCTGTCAAGCCATAGCCAGGCAACTGCTGCACCAAAATTTGACAGAAACCTAATTACATTATTTTGATTGGAACTGTGAAGATATTTTATGATATTACATTATTTCATGTTTTACTCAATGCCTCACCAAATGTCAGATCCTGGCCATGTCCCTTTCAGCATTTGCCTTCTAGTTTTTAAGTAGTCAGTACAACATGTTTGAAGGCCCATGTTTTAACCAGATTATAACTTTACAGCTTGATACTTTGAGTAAGAAATATTTTTGAAACAAAATACAATCAAACATCATTAATTATGATACATTCACATTTTGACATTCACTTTCAAAAGTCATGACCTCTTACAAAATTTAAATACAGGGTGTCAAATAAATATGTTCTCCCCCTTAATTTCAAGAGAATGAACTTTTGTGCAAAAAAGTGCATCTAGTGGAGTTAGTCATCTGAAACTTCTTGTGGAGTTGCTATGTGAAGCCTAGTTTTGATGTACTAAAGAACAATTCAGATATGTATCTACAAAAAGGTTATGCAACATAATGTGGATGTTAAAGCTAAGGAGGGGAGAACATATTTATTTGATACCCTCTAGAGTGTGGTATTATGAATGTTCCAATAAAACCGGAACACATACAAACTTAACGAAGGCTTTTCTTTTCCAAACATGAACTTATAAGTTACTGATTTATGGTCAAGACATACATTAATAAAGTAAAAATATTATCTATCTTCAGAATGGTGTTTAAAATACAGCTTGTCTCCACTAGCCATGGGAGGGGGCTGAAAGAGGCCTTAGAAGCACAACTTTCTTTCTTATGTGTTCTTTTTAATTTTCAGTTATTTAGCATTTTCTTTTCGGGTGGCACTGTGCCATCCATTGCACACAAGCTTTTTAATTTAGATTCGGATCCAAAAGTCTGCTTTGATGCCGATCTAGTATTTGTCCTTTGTGGAGGAAATGACATCTACTGGAAAGGCACCACAGACTCGAGGACCCCTTTGAATATTTTAGTTGAGAAAGAATTTTGTAATCTTCTCAGCGTCCTTCGTACACGTTTCAGTTCACACACTAAATTTTGTATTTTGGGTATTCTTCCTAGATTTAATCAATATAAGTTTAACAAAAAGGCACGTTATGTTAATCGCCGTCTTGTTGATTTGTGCCACCATCAATCATTAGCATTTTTGAATTGCGAGCGCTTATTTTTGCACGGCAACAAGAACTCTAATTTGTTTTCTTCTTGTTATTTTGGGGATTCTGTTCATTTGAGTAGCATTGGCAAAACAAGACTTGCCAATGCCTACAGCTCAGCAATTACTTTCATTTTTGGGAATTTTCCTAGTTTACCAGCACCAAACCAGCAGCTAGGTTTGGTGTGTAATTCTTCAATTAAATTTTATAATTTCATTAATTTTAGTTCTGAGAATTATAGAGAGACTGACAGACTGAGGAAGAAAGGTAAATACTGAATACTGTTACAGGAAATATAAGGGGCTGGGTCAATATTTCAATGTCCATCAATACGTAATTAATTACATTTGGATAGAGGGGGTAAAACGCTTTTTAATTAGGTGATGGGCATTGATTGTTACTTTCCTGGGCTTTCATCTTCTGCAATGGTATGACCATTAAATATAATCCACAGATGTATAAAGAGAATTTGAAATGTGTTGTTATAGCAGTAGCAGATATTGTATGCTGATGTTCTACTTGTCATGCTTGTACACTGTACGTAAATCAAAATTTTGACAATTTTACATTGCACAAGATTCAACATTTGACTTTAATTAGAGGGGAGGCTACTAAATTAATTATATTTTTTGACGAAGATTGAAATATTGACTCAGCCCCTAATCCCAAATGATTTTTTATGCTGGTATAGCCTTGATGATGTTAACCAATGGAAAATCACATAAAATAAAAATAATAATTGGAGACATAAAACCCTAACCACATAATAGCTTAGAGTAGAGGTTTATAATTGATTATTCATATTTGAAGATTTTTGAAGAATACTATTAAGTAATCAAGTCTAAGAATCACTCATTCCTTCATGATTTAGCCTAGCTAAGGCAGCTATAACTCAGTTATGTGACTAGATTTAGTGCAATAATGCATGTACAGATCATCATTAATATTTTTTCAGGATCACAAAGTTGAGGCCCCTGATGTAACACTGGAGTTCCCCCAGGAATTTAAACCACTAAACACTGATGATGACTCTCAAGCTCCTACATGAAAGAAGCTACAGAACAACATGAATTGACCCAGAAGTGATTGAAACTGTAACTGTACTTCATGTACTTATTATATGCAAACATTTGTATGCTCAAATAGCTATAAACTTGAAATATCAAAGGACCTACTGGATTTATTTTACCTCAAAGAAGTGATATTAAGAAGCTAAAGTTATAGCAGTATAACTGAATGCAGTGATCTCCACAGGAATTTTTTCTCAGGTGGGTGGAAAACTTTCATTCTCACAATGCAGACCAAAATTGGTCAAAATATGCAAATCTTTCATGATTTTTCTCATTTTAAAGTGGGTGTAAATGGATTTTCAGGTGAGTGCAAGCCTATTTTCAAAATCTCATATGAGTGCTGCACCCACTTGCTTTAATGCTGGGGAGATCACTGAAATGATATTCGTACTTATGCCTCGGATACTGATGTTTGTTATCTAAATAGGCCTAATGTAAAAATTAATGAACTTAAAAATAGATAAGCTGAATGGCTGAGTTATCATTAACATTTGTTTGAGTTACATTTTTTGGATCAACCTGTAATCTGGACATGCAGGGGTTGCATTAGCAGCAGACAACAGGCGATTTTCAATGTTTGTTTTCACAAAATTGCCTGTTGTTTTAGGGACTTTTCAACTTTTCCATGTTCAATTTTTGATTTCTTAATTTTGCCTGTTGTTTTCATTTATTGAGTCTGTTATCAGGTAATGCAAAATTCTGGTGAAATCCCTGACATGTAACACTATTTATTTGATTATTTGGGAGAGTTTTAACACTTTTCCTGATTTTTGCACTTTCAAACTTGAACAACTTCAACTCACTGATACTCATATTGTTGAAGATTTTATATTAGAGATTGTAATGAATAATATTGATAGGTCAACTGTACATGTTGCTTGTACTAAAGGTAAAATGAGTGAACTCCCCCCCCCACTTAGATTATTCAACCCAATGGAAAAATTATTATTAGACATAGGGCCTACGGTGTAAGTTATCCAAACATTATTAAACAAAATTCATATCAGATACAACTGTACAATGAGAATATTAAAATACAGTACATAGCCTACACAATAGTGTGTCAATCCTGTTGGACCTGGTGCATACAGTGTTATAATAACTATGCTCTGAAGAACTTGAAAGAAATTTTGATACTGATTTGATCCTCAAACATTTTTAAACTTAAACATGGAATGAATCTGCAGCTATGAATAGGTCATGTAAGCCATTTCATTTTACCTCATGTGAATATCTATTAAGCACAAGCACCAATGGGAAAAAAACTAATAAATACCTTTAAGAAACCCAGCAAGAAAAGCTTAGATATGACAGATTGATATGGTATTCATGTTCACTATCTAAATAATGTACTTGAGGAATACAACAAGGAATCTTGTTGCTAAAGATGTCTCGTAGGAAACTGATATACGGAAAAAAACAGAGATCCTCAATATTTAGCAGGGTCAAGGGTATGAAGATTGAATTTATGACAAAAATACTGAAAGATTCATGTGGATATCAAACAGAAATATTCTTTATGATGGTTACTTTTGTTTTAACAATGTTTCATACTCATTCATTACCACAATTGGTATCGAAAGTAGTCGAAGTGTCTTGTGGGCCCATATTTGTGATCCCAGACCATATAAAATCCGCTCGATGAAGAAAACTACAGGGAGTTGGGCTTAACTTTTTCACACAAAGTAAGACAGCACCATATTCTAAAATAAATAAGAATATGAAAAAAAAATATCAAATTCCTTTTAACATAGACGCTGAAAACTGAAAAATTGTTCAGTGAAATGGACCAAAAATGACCAACATAATCATCGATAACTTTCACGGATTTTTAGTAATATTGATCAAATTTTGACATTTATTCAACCATACCATGGTACAAACATAAACTAAAGGATAACTTCCAAAAACAACTGGAGGTAGGTATAAATTCACGAACGCTTGATGAACGAAAACACGTGAACATATTTTGATCAAACTTCAAGTGCTCTTTTCATCAAAAATATTCTGAAATTCTAATATAAATTGGTATCATTGTAAGGCCATTGATCTTAGGAATATAAAAAAACTAATTTATATGCATCTTACCTGAATACAACCGAAGATATTCGAAGAAATGTGCGGAGAACACACATTCCAAATTCAATTTCACGAAGTGGTGTGGCGTCTCATTTGTTGTTATTTCAAGGTCAAAGCGTTGCTTAGTAACGCGAATAGTCTGCGCGTTTCTGACGTGAGTACAATGGGTCTTGCGCACCACATCAAGTTTACGCAAAGATTATGTATTAACGGAGCTGTCGGGCATTTTCTAATGAGTAAGACCTCCGCAAGTTGCAAGTGGGGAGACAGGCTATCGAAACGGTTCTGAAAAGTCGACGGGGCCTGGATTTGAAAACGTTACCACTGTTGTCATAGGAGGCATGATGCTACAATTTGTATATTCTCGTGATCCTAATGTCCCTGTCTACTTTATCATATCATCAAAATCTTATGATATCATGCGGGTGTCTCATAAACAATGGAAATGCAAAAGTACTCAGCTATTTTTTTCTCGTTACACAAGGAGGATTGGCTCCCAGAGTGCACCACCGATATTCTGTCCCATATATGGGTATGTCGTAATACAAAATTCGAATTCAAACAGCCGCCATTTTGTTCACTTCAACATTTAAATCGTGAATTTTGGTCTTATTTCCAAACGAAAAATTCCAAAACTCACAAGAAATGATCGAGATATTGGTTCGAATCTTTTGAACTGTTTATTTTGAATTTATAGTCGGTTTTAATTTCAGAAAATAACGACATTTCGACGTTTTCATTGTTGGAAAATATCGAGTTTCGATCCTGGGAGCCAATCCTCCTTGTCGTTACAAAAACACTGAAACGGAAGTTGACTGCCACTCGTTAGACCGGCGAAACGACCTTGACCTGCTGTGTGGTGAAATAACGATGACTGCTTTTGAAGGTATTTCTAACCATAGTATTATCTATTTCTATGCGAAACACAATTTATTTAAAGTATGAATATACGTAGTTAAATATGTAACCAATGTTGAATATATAATTGGCCGTAGTGTTGTGTTATTTACACTTCTTTACACATTTTACATTTTTTCAATGTTCAAAAAATGGTGGGTGATAATAGACTATGTTTGGTACACCACTGTTTGAGACAAACGCAAACAAAACTGCCCTGTTGTCACTTGAAATTAAATAACGCCACGTATTCACGTCATCTAAATAAAGATAGCAGTGTCATCCTTCCCAGGCCTTTACTTAGTTATGGCCTTATGCTGGATCATAAGGCCCTGTGTTTTCTTGTTCTTCACGATATATGTACCTTTTACAAATTGTTGCTATTCATGGACTGAAATAAAATAAACTCACCCTCATTGATTTGTTTGTTGTGTAAGATAATATGTCTGTCTCCATGACTTGTTATTTATTGTTCTTTTGAAGCATTTTTATCACTACACTTTACCACCGCCATTTTGCTAACACAGAGTTATGTCGTGATTGCCAATCAATATTATTGATCAGTATTATGTACCTAGCGAAGCATTTTTATGGAAGGTAATGGAGCCGAAGGTCGGCTATATATTGGTGTATAACTGCTGAACTTTATTACCATGACAATTTTATGATGGCATAACATGTAAACAAAGTGATTTCGACTGGAATCGTGGAAAACTTTGGTCTTATTTCATGCATTTCTACATATTATCTTCATGAAATGTTATGTAAATGTGGTTGAGGTATGTAATACAACAATTATGTCCGTATCATTGAATATATGCCTTCGGACTGTCGTCAATATAACCCTCACAAGCTTGGGCTATTTTGTTGCAGACCTTGGCATATATTCAATGATAGGGACATAATGGTTAGGTATTACATACCCCGTGAAGCATTTGTATGGAATTCAATGGAGCTGAAGGCTATATCAATGACAGAGCTCGGGCATACATGTATATTCAATGATAGGAACATAACTACTAAATATATGATTTCAAATCTTTTGGATCTTAAATTCACAACCATTTACATGTTAATGTCAGACATTAAAAACGCTTTGGAACTGTTTTATGAAATGGCAGTCCCAGGTGATTTTGATATAAGCTGAAAGCATGAAATATTTCACAAAGAACAGTGTTGTTTGTTTCAATTTCAATTAATGAAATATTTTCAAAACAATTTTTAAAATAGCATTTAACTCCCGCCTAGACTTTTTCCTAAGTACGCATTTTTATCTCATGTCATCATGTCTAGCCAAGTTATTGGCTAGTAGAGACTCATAACAAGTGGGGACCTTAGGAGAAGGTTTCCTCTTTGGTTGAGGTTTTTAATACATGTCTGTATTCATCACATTCATGTATTGTAATGAACTAAACTTTAAAAATGTGTGTTTCAGAATTTGGTGTGATGCCTGAAATAGGGCAGGCTGTGGAGGAGATGGACTGGAGGTAATCAAACAAATACTTTCAAACTCCTAAAAATAGCTGTGGATATATTCTTTTCAAAAAGCAAAGGGATGATCAGATGATCTTAGAATATGTGGTAATTGATAATGTAATAAAGCTGTTAACTGTCAAAACACAGACCATATAGAACCTTAGAAGTTTAGAAATTGTCTATCTTTAAGGTACACATTTTGAACAAATATCAAGCATATTAGATAAACACTGCCAAATATTAGATAAACACTGCCAAATGCCTGAATGACAACCCCTTTGGACCACCCTGTACATGTTTATTATTGCTTTAAGTTTATATTTTGTAGTTTACCAACTGATGTCCAGCAAGAGGCCATTCCTATGATACTAGGAGGAGGTGATGTGCTTATGGTAAGTGAATGTGTAACCTGTATGTAAAGTGGTTTCATTAGAGGTTTTGATATTAGGAGGAGGTGATGTGCTCATGGTAAGTGAATGTGTAACCTGTATGTAAAGTGGTTTCATTAGAGGTTTTGATACTAGGAGGAGGGGATGTGCTTATGGTAAGTGAATGTGTAACCTGTATGTAAAGTGGGTTTTATTAGAGGTTTTGACAACAAGCAAAATGAATGATAGCAACAGGCAAAAGTGTTGGAAATAGATTTAAACTTGAAAATACTGGCACAATTCCTAACACAACTGGTGATTATGGAAAAAAACAGAGAATATTGCCTAATGATTGACTGCTACTATTGCGTCCCCTGATATATAATAGTAGAGGATATTCAACCTCTCTGGATTCTATAAAAAAGAATTTTGTCCAAAAAATGTTGTCATGGAAAGTCATTGGACTGTAAATAACAGTCTGTTCTGTCATGCACAGCCAATCTTCAACAGTACCATACAGGACTGTTTTGCTATTGTTCTGTACGGTACCATAAAAATGGTATTGTACCATAAACACTTAAGGTGCCATACTCCAACAGTACCATAGTTCTTAATGTACCATACAGCACCATGATTAACAGAATATACTGAATTTATATTAAAATGTTCTTTTCTTTTGCAGGCTGCAGAAACTGGAAGTGGAAAAACAGGAGTAAGTGAATTTATAAAATATAATTACATGTATCCCATTTTTGTTTTTCCCAAACAACTGTGGTTATTGTAGGATTTATTAATTGATTAATTAATTAACTGTGACTCCTTATGTTCCTTGATGTTTTTAATGTGTGCGTAAATCTATAAGTAAAGACAATGAATCATTTGTTGTGTTTTATCCCATTAGAGGATGTTAAAAGTGGCGTTATAAAAACTATCCATTAATATTATATTACATCTTCGTTGTAGGCTTTCTGTATCCCAGTGCTACAGATAGTACATGAGACTCACCGTGACATCAAGGAGGGAAAAGGAGGGGGCGGAGGAGGGAAAAAACCAAAGTCTACAAAGTGGAAAATGAATGTGTATGATAGAGGGGACGCTATGGGTAATATAATTCAACATGTCTATTATTTGAAAGATTTTAAGTTTTAACAAAAGTTTAAGATCAATTTTAGATATTTTTATCTGATTCAAATTTCTTGTTCCACCAATTCAGCTATTTTCTTGTTCCGCCAATTCGGAAATTTTTATTTCATTTAAAGCACACAGGACCTTTATTATTTCATGACAAAAGTTTAAAACAAGACCAATTTGAGAAGAATTTTATCTCATTCAAATTTCTTGCCCATTCAGAATTTTTTTATTTCAATTAAAGCACACAGGAACTCTATTATTTCATGCAAGTCATTGTTATAACATATAAAATGAAACTTGCATGATATGTAAATTCTGTTTCAGCCATAGATACTGATGAAGGCCTGCTATGTCAGGCTAGAGATGCTATGGGATGGCATGGGACACGCTCAAACAAGGCAGTCAGTGGGGGAGGTTAGTGGTTATCAGATAGCTACCTGTAGTTGTATAAATTTTTTTATATATATAAAAACAATACATATTGTTGACCACTAATCAACCAATCAGAATCGAGCATTTCAGTTGAGGTACTAACAATAAGAATTCTTAACTTACGAGGTTTCTGTTAATGGCCCTATGATAATACTATTCCTACTGTATATATGCTGATTGTGTTAAAGGGAAGTACTACTATGAGGCGACAGTGACAGATGAAGGGTTGTGTCGTGTTGGGTGGTCTACAGATAGAGCCAGACTAGACCTAGGGACTGACAACCAAGGATTTGGCTTTGGTGGAACAGGGAAAAAATCATTTGGCCGGCAGTTTGATACTTATGGAGAGGTAACCTAACACATACTAGTTATACAGAGGCTGACTTGAAATTGTACCCTTAAAGTGTTTACTGAGACTACAAGTCAATGTCCATAGTGAAAAGGTTGACTTCATGTTTGGTGAAGTTCCCAAAAACTCTAGGCTTAAACTAAAGACTTATGCCCTGATTTATCCCTGTTTTACCATTCATTTTACTTACAGCCATATGGTAAAGATGATGTCATCGGCTGCTTCCTAGACCTTGATGCAGGTCAGATAAAATGGTCGAAGAATGGGGATGATCTCGGAAAAGCTTATGATATTCCATCTAATCTACTTAATCAAAACTTCTACGCTGCAGTTGTTCTCAAGGTACTATTTTTGATGTGCTGTTATTTATTTTTGATACATTTAAGTCTTTTTAGTGATTTATTAAGAGGCTTATTTTTATCAGAAAGAGCACTCACTCAGAAAGGGTCTGTAAACTTCATCGAGAGTTGGGAATGTGCTACATTAAATGAATACTGCACTGGTGGTGCTTTTCCTTGAGAGACAGGACTATAAAGGGTTAAGCTGTACCTAGGGGGATGAGTGTGAGCTTTACTCTTTTGTCAAACTTTTCTGTCAAAACAGCTATTTAGGAATAAACTATTTCCACTTACTATACACTAAGCAAAAATAAATGTAAATGATAGAGTGTACATGATTCCACTGAATAATGCTCATCATACTGATTACTGGATCTTGTGTTGATAGAATGCAGAAATGAAGTTTAACTTTGGGGCCACCCCATTTGAGAACAGGATGATCGGAGGCTACACAGCTTTGTTCAAGGCCCCCAAGGAGTTCACTTCAGAGTCTAAGGCAGGAGGAAGTACAGTTGCACCTGTCCCTGCTAATAATGCACCAGTTGCAATAATAATTGAGGTGAGTGAAGAAACAATTATAGGTACATGTACAGGGGCCCAAATTTTGAAATTTTGAGGCCCAATTCTTCAAAATTTGGCCTGAAATTTTAAAATAAGGCCTTACAAGCCCCAGTAATGACCAAAAAGGCCCACTTTTTGGGGCCTTAAGGCCTTTTTTGCCCAAATTTTTTTTGGGCCCAATTTTATTTTTCTGGACCCATCCAAGGGGGTGGAGCCCCAGCCCCCCCCCCCCCAGAACCGCCAGTGAAGTATATGCAATAAGGAAACCGCTTCTATCCTATCACAGTACTCTAGATTGACTTCCTATATGTGGAAATTCATATTGGACTTAACTGTATAATACTGTAGTATCCCTTTGGATGATACCAAACAGAGCAACATTTCATGAATTTCAGTACTTTCAATAAAGCTTGAAACGTTTCCAAATTTTTAAAAATACAATTTTACTTCAATTTGATTCTTGATAACAACTTGAATTTTAAATCTAAAATGCTTTCACGCCTTCTACTTGAAGCTATTTCTGGAAATACTTCAGAAGTCACAAACATAAAGAAACAGCTTCATGTTAAGTCCAATATGAATTAACATATGTAGGAAGTCAATTTAGAGTACTTAGGCATGTTAGAAGTTGTTTCTTTATGTTTGTGATTGTGGGAAACTTTTTCGATCCTCAAATTTTATTTGTATTGTATATGTATCTTTTTTTTTCTAATTTGCAATAGAAACTGATTTCAGCCTTCTAGAGAGCTTGCAGAACAAACTATCACTCAGATCCAGAAGTTTAAAAAATACTTGGCTAACCCTACCATTCGAGAGCTACTTATTGTTGGGGGTGTACCAGCAAAAGACCAAATAGCAGCACTAAACAATGGGGTATGTACATACAAAATTGAAAATAAGCAGGGTGCATGCAGTCAGGGAAAACCAAAATAATTTTTCCTGCCCTGGAAAAGCTGGGGCATATAGATATTTGAAAATAACACATTTCAGGGTACATTGGAAACTGTTTTAATATTAAAATGATTATCAAGTACAACAACTTATAAGTTGTCCCAAGACAAACTGACTGGTGGAACACCTCCCAAGTAAAACAATTTTACAGGAACCAAAGGTGTTCCACTTAGACAGGTTTTACTGTATTTAACTCCCCCTAAAAAGTGGTGACATATTGTTATGGTCTCCAATTTTTTGTGGCTGCGGTTGTTGAATGGCATCCATTACAAATTCTTAAAACTTCCAATAACTTAACAAATGCTGTTTAGACTGACTTTAATTTTTTCAAAATCATCTACAAGTTTTCAGAAGTTCAAATCTGACTTTACATTTAGGATTTGACCTTGAATGACCTTTTTCAAGGTACAAAAAGATTAAAAAATCTTTTCTCTAAATTTTTAGAGTACGCCATGGCATTTTATGAGTATATGACGGCATTGCCATGAATGAATGTTTCATGTAATTGTATTTGAGTTTGTAAGACACCTCATTAGGTGTAGTCAATTAAGTATAATATTTTCATTAAACCATACATTTGGAGATTTGAACGATTTTTCATGTCACCATCACAAGTGATGATATATTAATAATCTCCAACTTTTTGTAATGGTGTTTGGCATCTGTAACAAATGGCAGGTGGTGACATTTATGCATAATGCCTTGTTGTGTTTCGGAGGATACAGCTAGTGTGTGACACATTTATGTTACAGGTGGATATTAAATGTATTTACTTCCATATAATACACACTTTATATGTTACAGGTGGATATTGTGTGTGGCACTCCAGGGAGACTTGAAGATCTGATATCAACAGGGAAGCTAGCATTGTCTAATGTCCGCTTCTTTATCTTAGATGAGGCTGTAAGTGAATGAATTTGGCATATAACAATATAATTACATGAGAAATATTGAACAAAGTTCAAAATAATCCTATTTAAGTGTGTCTCCATATCTCCATTTGTCTGTCTCTGCAAAAGATAACTGAAATACAGATTGTTAGATTTTGTTCTTATTAAACAGGCGACACCAGGTATGAAGAACTTCTCATTTAATCCATAGTCCCAACAAGTAATTTGTAGTCTTTAATGGTATATATGCATCGGCAGTGACCTCCCCATCATTAAAGCAAATGGGCGTAGCTCCCAACTGAGATTTTGAAATTAGGCTTGCACCCACCTGAAAAGCCATTTGCACCCACTTGAAAATGAGAACAATCATGAAAAATATATTTTGACCAACTTTGGTTTAAATTGTGAAAATGAAAATTTTGCACCCATCTGAGAAGAAACACTGGGGAGATCACTGATTGGGTTCAGCATTACATTAAGGCCAACAATTTCTATTAATATTTCTGAAAAATAACTGAAATTGCATTGACTTTTTTATAATCCTCTTGAACCTCCTAACTTAATTTCTATATGCAGGATGGCTTATTATCTGCCGGCTATACAGATCTGATCAACAGGCTTTACCAGCAAATGCCAAAGATATCAAACGATGGCAAACGTTTACAAATGATAGTCTGCTCTGCAACGTTACATTCCTTTGATGTAAAGAAAATGGCGGTAAGCATATGTACAGGGTGTCTCATAATAGGGAAGTTAAGCTACATGTTTATGAGAGAATATGTATGTCAACAAGAAAAATTTGATCCTCTATGGATTAGTTCTCCCTTCATAGTAAAAACAATCAAGAAGGGGAGAGTTAATCCCTAAGAATCATAATTGTACACATCCACTTCCAAGTTTTCTTAAAAACATGTAGTTTAACCTTCCTATATACTGATCATTCCTCATGCTTATATTAAAAAATCTCTATACAGAGTTCCCCAAAAATAGGAATAGTATCTAAGTATTACTCCATGTAATATCTTGAATGTTATATGATATGTTATCTATAGATTCTAGTTCAAGAAGCTGAAAATGAATGTCACAATTTGCTAATTGCCCATTGTTCATTGCCCATTGGCAGCCTGTATTTCTAAGTCCAGTATCAAGAGTTAATGTTATTACAAAGTCGGCTTTAATGCTAATAGTTAGATGTTTTTCAGAATTCAAATGTTTTAGGCAATAACTTTTGAACTGCATACACGTATTTATCAATTTTGAAGAAAGTTTGATATTTCATATAAACATTGGCAATGCATCAATTTGAACTATTTGATTTGTTAAAAGGTGGAAAGTTTTTAAAAAAATGTTTTCAAATTGAGAGTTTTTGTGTTGTATTTGTAGGAGCGCCTCATGCACTTTCCAACCTGGATAGACCTAAAAGGACAAGATAGTGTACCAGAGACAGTGCATCATGTGGTATGTGAATATTTATTACAGTATAACCTGTGTAAGTGGAACACCTGTAAGTGGAACACTACATCTACACTTGACACTTGTTCCACTAACATTAAACTTTCATTAAACATCAAGTCAATTGGTTCCATGCAATGTATATGTGTTCTACTTGATAGTTTTTACAAGTGTTCAAAGTTTTTATGAAACAATGATTTCATGATGTACCATGATATTCTTGTAATTTGACCTCATTTTCCTTTGCAATTTGACCTACTTTGACACCTTGACCCCCTATTGACCTATTTACCTATGTCAGCCTAGTTAGTGGTACCACCTTTCCCTTGAGGTAGGTTAATGGCTGGGGTAGAAATAGCTAGTTGGTAAATGACCATCATACCATTATTTATAAGTATAGTGTGGGTTAAAAATTCACATGTGTTAAAAAAGGAGTCCTTTATAGCATCATTGGCAGACGTCTGAAAATCATAAGCATTTTGCATCTGTAAAAGGTCATTATAATGTGCAGGTACCTATATAAGGGTAAGTGAATCACATTGGAACATTAAATCTGTCTAATCCAAAACCCCACAGGGATCAGCCAAAAGTGTTCAGATTGTCAGGTACTCACATTTTTGTAACATGGAAGGCTATGACAGATGCGACTGAAAAAGTGTTCATATCGATTAAGCCTCAATCACGTTTGTTTTACTGCGGCTGTATTGCGGTCGTTAGCTTCACAAAATCGATAAAGAAATTTTACATTGTACTGCTTATCCCTATATTTTGTGCTGCATATTTATCTCAATTCTGGGAAGCTTCAGCTGCTGGACGATTAAATGTGTAAGAGGCATTATCAAGAGATGTTCAGATTAGGATATTCAAGTTTTACTGTATTATGAATATGGTTTAGCCCTTGATGCTTTTCATTGCTTTCCCAATTAAAAGAGGTCACTTCTTGGGATATACATTAAATTAATTATTGTGACTAATGCTAATTATGGAGGTGGAAAAACATAACCCAACAAATAGTGCAATTTATAGCCTTTAAAGGCCTGCATTCTGATTGGTTGATAAGTGTGTGATATTTTACTATATATTCCTTATTTCAGCTTTATATTTCTACTTTATATAATTAGATTTAGCTTCTTATTGGATTTCATTTCATTCTTTGATTAAGAGATAATCTTTTGATCTTACCTAATCAAAACCCAGAAATAGCATTAAGTGGAATTTATGCCAAAAAATTATCACCGGCATTTGTTTCATATTGAAATTCTCATAAAAGGCCATGACAACTACTTTTGGAATCATTGATACCTACTTTTACATCTTGACATATTTTTAAAAATGATTAATGCTGTGGTAGAAATAGCTGAAATAAGTATATTCAAAACTTGATATATAGTACTTATGTACGAGATCCCAACCCATGAATGAAATGTGAATGCGGAAATTGCAGAAGACAAAAACCAGGGAAACTAAAAACTGATGTCTGTCTCTCACATAATTAAAAAGCATTTTAACCGCCCCCCCCCCCCCCTCCACTAATTTTATTGCGTTATGGTCATCAAAATATTGACCCGGCCTCTAAAGGGTATAATGTGATAAGAGCTTGAGTGACATGATCTGCTTAATTATAGTGAATCCATCTTATTTTTTTCACCTAAGATGAAAAATATTTTTCTTTCTTTCTAGGATAAGTGCTTGTTATTTAGACTTTACCTCAAATGCCCTCCCATGTATTACTTGGAGATGACTTAGAGTGTAATTGGAACATTCAATTAATACTTTGATGACAACAAATACAATATAATAAACGACACGTTACGAACTGTAACGTGACTGCTGTGTGTTTCTTAATATCTGTGTATCACTTCACATAATTGCCTATGGCCTTGCACAATTTTGTTTGTATATTGTTACAATAATTATGATATCAAATTTGCTGTTTTTTCATTCATTTTCTCCATTTTTTGTCAGAAATTCCAATGGTGTTTATTCATGTTAAGATCACATGTAAATAACCACATATTTTTTTTAATGTTCCATTTTATTTCAAACTATTGATAGGTAAATACAGCGCATAAAATTTTGAAATAATCCAATTTTTTAAGTATCAGTAATTATGATCAAGAAAATTACATGGCTAGAAAAACATCATCACGCAGAACTACCTTAATTCTCACAAATGGAAACATATCAAGAATCTGTATGATGGCATATTGGTAATTTTGTGTGTCTGTATTGAAAAAATAATAATGTCTTTATCATGCAGAACTACCTTAATTCTCACAAATGGAAACATATAATGAATTTGTATGATGATATATTGGTAATTTTGTGTGTCTGTATTGAAATAAATAAAAATATATAAGTATACAGTGAAAACTGTATATTCCAAGATCTCTGTAATCTGAACACCTCTCAATGTGAACACTTTTTCTCAGTCCCAATTTTGTTATCTTCCATGGACATACATATTCAGAACACCGTTAATTATGAACACTTATCTGAATACTTCTGTCTGGTCCCAGTGGCGTTCTAATTACTATGTGAAAACAATAAGATACAGTAGAACCTGCTAAGGGGAACACCTCTGTAAGTGGAACACCTTGCAAGTGGAACAGTGATTTTAAAATCCCATGGCCTATCTACTCCATATTAATGAACCTCTGTAAGTGGAACACCTCCCAAGTAGAACAGTGATTTTAAAATCCCATGGCCTATCTACTCTATATGAATGAATCTCTATAAGTGGAAAACCTCCCGAGTGGAACACTTTTTGTGGTCCCTTGGGTGTTCCACTTACACACGTTCTACTGTAGATACATATTACAATGGAATAAATGAGAGAACTTTGTATAATTATCTCCCTTAGGAGACAATGGGATATCAATGATTTACAGCTTATCTGTGACATTGCATGACCCCACTTGACCTAAACAAACAACTGAGTCAACCAATAAATGTAATGATGTTTTTTCTAGTAAAAACAGCATAGCAACATACTTCTATGAATTTAACATCTTTTAATAAATTTAAACTCTGGTAGAGATTATATTTAAACTTCTAGTTTATAAATAAAATATTTTACAGGAATGTTTTGCCTGCTGAACCTGTGAATTGATGATATTATTTTTTTAGGTTGTACCAGTTGACCCCAAGCAAGATACAAGCTGGAAGTCTCTCAGCCATCACTGGGCAACAGATGGAGTGCACGAGAAAGATCGCCTCAATCCTAATTATGAGACTCCTGGTAAGTGACCTTGACCTTGGTACACACACGTGCATGCATCCTGCACATGTTGAAATCTTCCACTATCTGAGCAACATGTTTCATACTATGATACTTGGGAAAGGTTGCAATGTATTTAAACCCTGGTACTTAATGACCTTGTCACACACACATGCATCCTGCATACGTTGAAATCTTCCGCTATCTGGGGAACATTTTCCATTCTATAATACCTGAGAAAGGTTGCCATACATTTTAATCCTGGCACTCAGTGTACCCTTGTCACACACATGTTGAAATCTTCGCTTTAAACACCAGATGTCACAATCTTGTACGTGATGAAAGTAGCATCAAGATCAAATCCGGGTCATAAAATCACTGAGTTCAACATATGCACTCACACATTTATTCACCCAATATAAAAACTTCCAGATATCACAAACACCAGAAAGCAGATTGTGCACATGAGAGGAAAGAAGCGAGCCTATTAATTCTTTGAACAAATATACATTGACATTTGTTCACACTCTGTTCAGTTCCTGTTTGAAATTTCCGATCACTAGACAACAAATGGTTGGCAGAAAAATCAGATTTAAAAAACAAAAGCTTGGAGTCAGGCCTGGTAATTTGAAAAAGTGAACAGAGGGGGGAGTAACCCATTTCTGCTAGAAAATTCAACAAAATTCATTTGTAAACTTTCTCGTGAAAAAAATAAATCTTTCAGATTTGTAGAATTTTTTAGCAGACATTCAGCTATTCCACCTTCCCATTTATTTTTTCCAATACCAGGTGCGGGATGGAAGTGCATTGCAAGTTCATGTATATATGAGAAATATTCTTGAAGTAAGTGAACTCCATTGAACATCATTTTGAATAATGGCAGTCTTCTTCAGTCTCATAAAGTATTATATTTCAATTCTTTACATAATATGATTTTCTGCAAAAAAACTGTTATTTATAAAATTATGTTTCCCTGGATTCAATTTTTCCAGAATTTTCAAAAAAATTTTCATTTACACCCTGGCAGACCATACCTTGCTGCCATCTATCTTAAAGTCTTTCTAGAAATTTATGTATTAATTAATCGCTTTAGAGGCAGAATCCGGGACAATTTTCGAAATCTGCTAATGGTGATAATAGAAAATATACATCAGATGTCATGTTACATATATTTCCCATTACATAAAAAAATAAAATCATGCCTATTACAATGACACCCACTCTGATAAGCATGTATGTAGATCATATGGGAGGTGCTTATTAGTACTTCACCCTGGGATCTTTTCATTTATCAGGTCAAAGTAATGATGTCAATGTCAAGAGATGACATTTCAGTAACCTGCTTTTGTGACTTCAGTTTCAGCTTCTGTATAAAGTGTTACACTTTTCTAGGTGGTGATATTTTGTCATTAATATGTTGTTAGAGTGTTCAACTTTGGTAAGGTGATATCTTGACAATAGATCATAATGATTCTGTTCTCTCTGATTATTAATTTGTGATTATTAAATATGGAGCCAAATTCTTTGATAGTTATGTATCAATCTTGTCTCATAAAGATCTTCCCTTTATAAGCTGCCTCAGAGCATAGTCATCATTTAACTAATATGTCCTCATATAAAAGTCATAATTAGTCGTACTAATTTCATACAATATCTCAGAAAAATTTGAATGAGTACTTCAATTTTTTTACATTTTTGTACAATTCGGAGTGTCTACTTCATGCCTATGTATTTTATTCCTCGCAAATTCCACTCCTTATCAGTTAATTTTGCACGCGAAACATGACCTCTATGAAATTATACTCGCTGGTGGATATTACTTGAAAAATTTTAATAACAATACCTAGTAAGAGATTGTTGTCACCGAGCGTTAATAATTTAGAAGGCATTCTCACTTCTCTAATTGCGTAGTATTGTAGAACTATGTAGTTATGCAGGTTCGATATCATCATATTATGGTACAGCATTCATTTGTATCATATTTTACGGGATCATGACTCTCCATTTAATTAGTGTGGGGTCAGTTTCGTGTCGAGTGCGATAAAAGCAATTATTCAGGCATATATGAATAATTCACGTCCGATTGTGCAACAAATGTGTGGAGTTGGAATAATATTCTTACCGCAATAGTAGAATTGTTTATCATTTGCAAGAACTAAAAGCTGAATGTTGTAATAGCTGGATCCCAGCTTAATCCCTTGGATGTCAGAGTAGTTTTCATTTTCAGTTTCTGCCACTTTACTATACATTACTATGCATTATCAGCTGTTCTATCCCTGTACCTGTTGTAAAGTAAGATCAATTACGTATATTTCACAACCAAAGTATAAATAAGATAGATATTGCCAGATTTTAGACATTTTGGTAAAAATGTCTTGTTTTATTTTTCAAATGTCACCCTTTGTGTTCTTTTATAATGTTTGAAATTGTCAAATTGTGGAGATCCAAGCCTTTATCTATATTTAACATTTTTTTGCCAAGAAAAAATGTTCAGTGTTGGTAGGTGTTCACTTCAGAGAGGGTAATTTATACAAAAGTCAATAGAGTATGTGTTGAGGGTGTCCACTAGAGGCAGGTGTTCACCAGAGAAAGGTGTTCATTAAATACAGGTGTTCATTAGCGAGAGGTGTTCACCAGAGAAAGGTGTTCACCATTACAGGTTTTACTGTAATTTGAAAGTGGAAAGATGTGATGTTTATCAAAATTACTTTCTCTGTTCATTGTTTGAAGTTTTACTGTATAAAAATATATATTTGCTATTAGACTTTTAGCTCTTAACGTCAGCTCATTATTTGTGAAAAACATCAAAACAAATTTATCAAAACAGAACTCATCTATAACAGTAAGCGATATTAAACTAACATTAAACTAATTAGAACAATTTGCGATTTAAGAATACAGCAACCTCAGAATCCGAGGCATTTTATGAGCTTCTTATCTTATTTAATTAGCCTCAAATAAATAATTCCAAAAAGAGAACTAGAAATCTGTCACTCAGTGATCAAAGTTGTTTTGAATGAGATGTTTATTATTACATAATATGAGTAACAGGATATAGTGATCATTTAGAGCTGTTTACTCGGAAAATTATTTACTAATGTATATTAATCAAGTTCATCCATCTACAAATCGACAACTGTTTGTTTCATTCATGATGCTTGTAGGAGGAAATTGTACAATTTTTAGGGTTGGTGTTTAGTATTCAACGGTTACATCTGTAACAAATAGTTATTTAAAGAAATTATATGAAAGGTGCCAGCAATGTGGGGTCTATCTGAAATCTCCTTATTATACCTTATTTTCAAGACCTTGTGATTTCACACGCCGTATACCTTATAACTTATATTAATACGACAATGTACATATGTTTACATTGAGTAACAAAATCTTATACCTTACAATAATATGAAACTTTGTAGACTATTTGCCTCATTCCATATATCCATATTGTAGAACCGAGTGAGGGGGTGCTGTACTTTATACCGGGGCCGGTCCCTGCTCCAAGTCCGGTCACCTTAACCTGAGGGGGGTCTGTTGGTCTCTGCATCACCGCGCCGCTCCGTCATAAGGTAGACTTGATGTGGGGAGGGGGGAATCAGGTCAGCTGCTACATGTCAAGGGATGTGGGTATGAGAGCCCCGACCTCCCCGGGAGGGGGAGGACGGGAAACACAGAACTAGTAACAAATACGTACAATATACAACAACTTTATTATAAGATCTTCAAGGTGTATCTGTGTGCCTCTAGCTCTGAGTGACTCTCATGAAAATGGGATGATCAGGGTATTTTATACTACATGTGAAATAATGATGTACAAAGATGATGATTGGGTAATGATCTGGCCAATGACATGATGTGAGGCACACACCGACTTATGATTGACATACATATAGATGGTACAGAGAACAATAACCGGGCCACGTGTTCCACACTGCCCCCTCCTAGACTTGACCACTCCGGGGTCAGCGTCATGTACAAAGTGTTATCAAACATAGAATTATACAAGAGTCCATTTCACCCAATATGGTTGCAGAAATCGTAAAGTAATTAAACGAAAATAGTTCTACGTAAATGGCATACACCGCCCAGCGAATTTAATAATTGGCGTCCTGCGTGCACAAATGCAATGTTCCCAATATCGTCACTTTTGTTGGTATATCAGCGTGTAGTGACGAATTTGATAAATATAAAATACAGTGCTCCAAATATCGTTGCCCTTCGAATGAACTATCAGCATGGCAAGTTCGTTAGTAGCACAATAATATAATGTTCCAAATATTGTTCCATTGAATGAACTGTCAGCACGGCGAATTATTAAGCAGCACAGAATAAATATGATATTCCCAATGTTGTCGTACTTCAAATATTATTGAAGTATAAAAGTCTAAAATGTTCCAAATATTGTCGCTCTTCGAATGAACTGTCAGCACGGCGAATTCATTAAGCAGCACAGAATAAATATAATGTTCTCAATGTTGTCGTACTTCATGATCAAATGTTCATTTCTTATGTGGCCTGTCCAGCGTGACGGATTCCACCACCTTCTGCTGGACGGCCCCGTCTGGCCCGAAGGTTTCAGTGGAACGTTCCCAACGACGTACGGCGTACCCTTGTTCCAGCAGGGCCCTTACGTTGGCTGCGAGCCCTGCCGCCGGCCCTGTAATGGGGAGAACGCTCTCGGTGTCCTTTTTCGCCAAGACTGCCATTTCCGCCGACCGTGAGGTTGACGTCTCTCCGCTGGTTGGGCTGGCGGACCTTCTCTTCGCGGCCGACGATCCTTTGGGTGGCGAGTCCTCAGTACGTCCTCTTTTGGCGGCCCTGTCTCCAGTTGACGCTAGTTTAGCCGCCGCGTCCGACATAAGGTTTAGCGGGTCCCGTGCGTTGACCTGCACGCTGCACTCAGGTGATGCACCTCCTCTCACGGCCGTAGACGACTGAGAGGTACGTTGGGCGTTTGCCGTCTTTCTGGAATGCGAACGGGAACGTGACCGGGATCTGTCTTCAGGGTTCCTTGCGCTTTC